GATACGATTCACCCGTGGTTCGCTGTGCATAAACTGTAACTCGTCGCTCTGTGGCTGGCGTTATCCCGTAGGTTAGGATCACCACACATTGTCGCTCAGAGTGCGTCTTTGTAAATATTGATCATTCTATCATAACATTAGTATGGAGAGCTTTTCTCGTGATATCAAATCTTTGGAGTTAGGCTTAGGTCTCCGTTGTTTTGCGTCAATTCTGCCAAAGCTAATGGAGGAGATTAGCTTGTCTTAGTCACGACGAATGAAAACCAAAACACAAAGGCGTTGGTGACAAGCTAATTTCCTCAATAATGATGAGCACTACGCCCACTACGTTTTTTAGTGAGATCCGTTCCATCCATGGATCTCGTGTTATGTCAAAGTTGATGTTTCAGTATGCGGGTATAGACTAGCTGGTAGTGTCTAAGACCCGAATTGTGCCATCCTAAACGAGGTTTATGAATTCATGCAGCGATCTGCAGGGTATTTGAGATTTGTGTTTAGAAAACCAGTACGTTTACTCAGTGTTCATCAAATTCGCTGTTTTCTACCTGAGTCTAGACTGATCCGAAGGAGCCCCTAAACTTCAGTTATCGGCTACGTGGCCGTCGAGAGTGTGGAAATTTACCGATTCCCAATTAACAGCCGCAGACAATCCTAGCACTAGCGTGTGGACCTGGTTATCAGGAACGGTTATATTCATTTCTTTAGCTAACCAATTTCCGCGCGCAGAGTGCTGACAAGAATTACGACACCCATCGAATGTGTCCGAGAGGGAAATCTGTTTAAGTCGGAAATAAATTCGTTGCTTCACACAATGTGCTGCTATTGGAATGCGCTGAGATAGTTCAGCAACATATATATTTTCCAGAGGTTTTCGAAGGTCTTTCTGAGTCTCACGGCTCATAAAGGGGGATTCAGCGGAATCCAGTCCACAGGAAATGTCTCCATGCCGCTGTTCCTTGTCCGGTCAAAAGATGAACCGAAAACTATTTATTTACGCTTAAATTTGTAACTACTTATAAGTAGTGCAGCAGGATAATAATTATTATCGACTATTTCCTGATTCCTTTCACAAGGTTATTGATTAAGGTGTTTCAGCAAACAAGGGCAATCTACTGACTGCGATTCTGATATGATAAAGCACACCAGCAAATCATATGGAACTTAAGCAAAACACAGGTATACCACCCGAAAAATAAGCAACTTACTGTTTAAAACAGCAGCTTAGTTTTGATTACGCTCTGCCAAAATTTCGTAACTTATTCGAACAGACCAAACCGAGAACTCTAAACTCAGATTTGCTGTTTGTATATTACAAGTGCTTAGGTGAGAAGTAAACCAATTTTCGAGCGATCACAGCTTAATCTTCAATGTATCATCGAACTTTTCTAAGTCCACTATTACTCACTTTAGTTTACGATTGAATATAGACCGTTTCAGTCGTATTGTTGTTTTACTCGATCAGAGTGGAATTTGTGTCTCCCTGTAAACAGGCTTGCACTGGTATTTGGAGAACAAATTGGTTTTTACTAGGAGTTGAGGCCCGCTTGCTTCATCTGAGCCACGAATACCGTTTGTATCCGAATTATTCTGTATGTTTGCATACTATCTGCGGCCGTGTTGATTCTAAAGCAAGCTGTTATTTCCAGTTGTATTAACAAAGGTACTTTACAGTCGTAAATTTTTCCTAATCTTTGGACCTAAAAGCTTTTTAGGGTACTTGGTGAATTTCCACTCAATGTTGTCACGTTAAAATTATGTTTTACCGTTAATCAATAAGAATAACTGCCCCGTGTCTCACAGGAAACTGTGAAATTCAGTGTGTTATGAACGTATCGTTTATCAACATGCCACATTGAACCTACCGAACGAGCAGTTTTACGGAGACAGATTTGAGGTTCCCCGTCGATGTAACCGTACCATGGAACCTCCATAACTGCTTCCTCGTCCATCAACGTGATATCTGGTCTGTTTTTGACCATATTAACGGCATACTCCATTTCTATTAAATAGAATTTTAAGGATCAAGACTATTAAGGTTAACTTAGGAACATACCGTGATGGACAAGTTGTAAGATAATGGTGAGATTCTTGCTCACAATCCACAGATTATTGTTGATGACTGTCTCCATCACTTTATCATTATCGTATTTCCATCCTCTATAGTACTGGCCGATTGTGATGCACTGAAATATTTGTCACCTGTATTAATGCTTTAGGTATGAACAATAATTTATATCTTGTCTGCCTCGATCTACGTAGTTTCTAGATTGCATGATTCTCAATTAAACGCGCCTGACCTTAGGGTGCCAACAATAAATGATTTCAACATGAAAACCACAAACTTTATCTAGTATCACAACGCAATATTTTCTAATAGGAATGACTCAAGAATTACCCTAAAATATTTTCATAACCCCTTGCCATCTCGGTTGTTTGTTCTGAGGCATTATTCTATCTAATATATAATCCATTATGGCAACTCTATTGGATAACCAAATGAAATTCTTTCACAATTCGGAGAAATTTCATCGAATAAAGTTTCATAATAATAATCTTCGTTTGATATCTAACTCACTGAATTCGAGAGATACCACTTCAATCAAAGTCAACTTTGAAATCAAGGTCATTTTCGTGCACAGCTTTGAATGATGCGTGACTTTAAGGTCCAGTTCACGCAACTTCTCCCTGATGGCCCGGATCTCAACGTAATGGAGCACAAAATAGAAAATGACTTCATAATAAAGTTGGTGGATTCGATGCCGAAGAGACTCGAAAAAGTCCTAAAGAACAAAGGCAGACCAATCGACTATTAGTGTAAATAAACTTAACACCTTAATTATTATCAATGTTAATTTGTTGTGAATAAAAACTGTTCCATTCTCTTCAGTTACCTCTTAACTTACCATGATCTGGGTCAACCACTACTGATGAAATAGGAGTATCCGCTACGTTCTGAACCATTCCATCTGAGTATAAACGAATCAGGAAAATCACGTCTATAAAGACTGACCAAGGCTTGTTTATTACTATTGAAAAAATTAGTCCAGTATAAATGCTGTTGTCTATACGAACCGGCAAGTGTTTCACAGGGACCCGTTGCTTCAGTTTCGATTAGACCTATATGGCCATTGTGCGTGTTCAATCCAAAGGCCCATTGCTTACTCCAGTTGTTAACTACTCTCCCCGTCATTTTCTCACACGAACTCTCATCCGTTGCACTAGCATACAAAGTGCGCATACGATTTCACTGACTTCCTTAGTCGCATACTCCTCACGTTCAGCACTGTTTGATGGTATTTAACTTTATCAGCATGCCAAAGGCTTCCCGGCGCTTTTTCCAGTTATCAGAATCGATTAGGACTTACCGTTCCTCAGACATTGCCTTCACACTCTATACACAGCTTATCCAATCAATCATTTTATTGGAATACGTCTCTGGAATTACCCGTGTGTTGTCGAACCTGAAAGCTCAGAATGACCTTTAGGATTTGTTTTGTCAACGAATCTGTCGGAACTCCTATGCTTTATTCTTTCAAACAAACAGACTTGTCGGCGTTTCACTACGCACATTTGACTAAACTCACTCGATTGCATTTTGTTTACCCGCGTGAAAAAAGTCGATATTAATGGACGACGACTGTGATGATGATAGTAAGCACATGTATTTATATGAATACACACACAATCCTGTTTTGTTCGGTTCAGTGAACGGTTATTCCTTTGTGCATCATTCCATCATTCAAGCTCAAATCTGATGTGAATTGTAATTTTCCAGTGACGTATGCTCAACCTTAGTTTGGGTGAAGATCCTCGCACGTATGACTGATTGATTGTGATCTGAGGGAAGATCATTAAGTGAGGCCATTTTAGCATACTTTGATTTTGCCGTAATACGTCGATCAATTCCACTTTTAGTTGTGCTAAATGAATCCAGCAGGCAGAATATCACTCAATTAGGCTTTATCGTATATCATCTGGACCACGGATTGGAGAATCGGTTTGTAAAGAGTTTTCTTTTGTTTTCATATTGAATACCATCTCCTAACTATTACATATCGTGTTCCTTACACACTTTCGAGAACACACCCAGTTGTGCGAAATTGTATGATGCACCTGCTGCTCCTCGTGCAAAATACTTCCCATTTCAGCCCGTTCTATTTGTATGCACTATCGCCTCATACCATCGTAATGAATAATGTGGTCAGTACTTTTTTGCTCTCGTCGTTCAACTTGTCATCTTCCCAATATTCGACTGTCTGTACCAGGGCTTTGTACAACCTATTGATACTCAATCCTAGTTATTCCCGTTACTGGGCGACAATATGGTTCGGGTACGCGGCATTTCGTGGTGTCCATGATTTTCATTTCGCATTTATATGCTTTCCATCGAGGATTTTCGGGAGTGATACCGACCTTCGAAAATGTAGGCCTTCAACTGTCGAATTGAGTCTCGGGTTTCCCGTGCTTCCAAATGTAGATGATGTCTTCCTGCGTATGAGATCCTTCTACTTTCTGTCACTTACTTTCCAACACGTAGCAGCAGTCTTCAAATGGTCACCAGTCTTACTAGCCTCTCTGATCTATGATCACAGCTTCTATTGTCCTATTCCGTAATTATCTCATGCTTACTCGTACACAAAGCTGATTACGGAAACCCGAAACGATGGGCCTGAATGTTAGAATGGAGAACCACACAAGATCCTGATAGCAGACGTAACCAAGTATGCATTGCATTAAATCATTTTGACTTTTCGCAAACTGGTAGTTATTTAGTTACTGACCATATGCTGAAATTGCTCATGAACAAAATAAGAATGGCAAATTTTCAATGTGTTTATTTTAACAAGAACGGTGAACTTTGGGTGTTAGGAGAGTGATGAAATTACTCGGATGAAGGGTACGAAAGCAGAGGTTTGTGTGATTCATGCCCATTCAGTCACAAATGTGGCTGACACAGTTCTACTCACAAACTCATACCGCTGCACAACTCTGTCCTTTAGGCGATCCAAATCTTGGGTGGCATGGGTTATGTCACTTCTATGCCCGCCGAAAGACACTATCGTGATGCCCGAATATGTGAGATATACGAAGGGACTAGCGAGATCCAGCGTCTGGTAATTGCCGTGAATTTATTCAAAGAACACGGTATTCGGATCTAATGGATGGTCTCTATATTTATGAGACGACTCGACCAGCCCCCACAAGGCTCTTTCACTCAGGTACAACACACAACTCACACCTGTCAAAACTATTCTTACGCGTACATTGTACACGGACTGTTTTGTTTTCTATTACTATTTTTCGGCTTCCAAAAGAGGCCCTATGAAATACTTGGCGAAGTATTTTATACTTTTGTTACTTCCAGTTTACTCACCGTCATTCAGATTTGTGATAAGACCTTGTACTGATTGTTCTTTGCTCTAATAAATGTGATTCCTTGATCGTTTGTGGTGTTGCTTTCCGTCGGTGGAATTTCGCGGAGTGATTGTTGGAATCAAAAAATTGAAATTCATGTCCAGTCCGCATACAATGTACGCCTGGTAAACAGATTTGTTTTTATTAGCTGATAATTATACCGTTACGCTTTGTATGAGAGAATAAAACTTAGGGGTAGTTAAAATAATTTAAATGAGGTGGAAGTGTTTGTTAACCAACAAAGAGCACTGGACAGCTGTTTTGTCCAGTGCGTACTTTTTGTGTTCCTGTCAGGACTCGAACCGCGGACGTTCAGGCTGGGACGTCAAACCCTTACCCTAAGCTACACGATCGACGGTCATCACCTTTTGCGGATGTCTCAAACAATTTCTAGGGAAGCAAGCTTGGATTAGCCCATTTACGATCTCCCAAGGAGTGAAACCCACACCGAACATCATCAACAGTGCATGTGAAAAACCGAATAGGCTAATCCAAACATTGGTCATCTAAAGTTGTTAGAATAACATTATAATATATATAAATATAAGAAAGAGAAACCAAACGCATTTTGACTATGATTAGTTAAAATTGATCGATCCCATAAAGAAAGTGTGCTGGGAATGCGAAATAGCATGGAGTTCACTCTGAGTGCTGTGATCAAAGTGCACTTCGTAGTTCGTCACGTAAGTTGTATGAGTCAGTGATGACTCAGATGTGCTAAACGACGCCCAATATGGAGCAATGTTCACGTCAACTATGGTAGAAGAACGACGACCACTAGGGCTTATACATCGTGGTTTAGTTTATGGAGTTGTCACTTGTCAAAGACAAATCTGGCACACAACGATCAACATGGTCCATGTGGGCTATATCATTTCGCCAATCTCAACGGGATAGACCGAATCTGCGCAACCAAGTCGCCGGACTCGGCTGAACAGATCGCGCGATTGTGGAAAAATATATGTGAACAGTGCTCACAGTTACCGAGGGTTTTTTGGGTACTCACTCCATAACCGCTGTATACGAACCAGTGAAACTGACGCGTCCATTACTCATGTGGATATCGATCACAGGGTGAACTGAGTACGCATGTGAAATACGCTCACGATCGACGTAGGCGGATTTCTGCTACACATTGTTTCCTCTACATTTGGGGATGAACAACAACCATCACACGGAAGCCGATTCACTCAAGTTCTCTTCGCTTCGTTCTACTCAGTGACCTTAAACAGGTGTGCACCGGCCTGAGAGGGCGTTTCCCGTTTTATAAGTCAAGTGGAATGAGCGCAGGGTCGGGCTAACTGGTCGACATATTAAGATGAAGGAACGGCACTTGTCATTATCGCGAAGCAAAGTGGGATCGATGAATTAATGGTGTCTATCTACCGAGAGAATACGAACGTTACTCGCATTCTGTGCCACCAACTACCGTCCCGTTCGGTCTCGTGACAAACACTGATGACCATACACTTCACTTTGAGCACAGGTCGACCAATAAGGAGGGTCATTCTGATTTTTGAGGAATCGACCGAATGTGATACATCTCTTACCACTAGAGTATCTCTGTCGAACACGCAGTCTGCTGTTTTCTTTACAATGCCAGTTGCAAACTCTTGCGCGTGAAGTTTATTCGCCAATCGAAAACTCACGCACCAGACTATGTAACCTAAACAAGACCATCACAGTTGACAGATGAACCCTGCGAAACATTTTTTGGAGGGAAATTTATATAAAGGTCGAACAAAGAATTGGGCCGACGTGAAATGCAACAGGTTTGTACTCATTCGCGCGACAGGAACACCGGCATCATATTTATCCCGGTGAAAAGACCCGAAAAAATAGAAAAGAAAACAAACGAAAAATACAGCACACAACAAAGACAAGGGGGCGGGGGGCTGAAAAACAACAAGATATCTTTGAGAACCCTCACATCCACGCGTACATACACATACAGTAAACCAGGGTATTGGTCTTTTAGCGGACCCATGCGATCGGTCCGGGCAGGACAAAGGTCACTAGCTTGCATCTGGACTAATGATCAGGGCCACTAGTGCAGTCCAGCCAGCAAACGGATGCCCCCGTTGACCCCGACCGGTGTTGTCGTCATACTGTTCCCACATGTACCCGGTTCGTTCCAGCTCGCCGAGAACAGTTCGCACCAGGTTCTGTGATAACCGCACAGCCAATTGGTTTGCACGTGATGCCACATCGGTGGGCGTGCGCGAATGTGTAGCATAGTAGCGCAAGCTTTTCACAGCCAGATAGTTCATATTGATCCAGATTGCCCCGCGCCAATATGGCAAGTCTTCTTTGGTGTTTGATTTACGGTAGAATGGTGAACTGCGAGACAGAGAACGGAGACCGTGTTCCGTCCAGATATCTTCACTTGCCAGGTCGTCCAATAGACGACCTAAGCGAGGGGAGTTCGGAGGTATAATTCGCAACAGCAAAGGGAACAGAGTAAGGTATCCGGGAGATGTTGTGATCAGTTGCGGTATGGGTGGCTTGTCTACCACACGTGTTGCTTTGGGCTATGAATAACAGAAGGGGATAAGTTATGGCACAATCAATGCAACAAATAGGTGAACATAACATTATTCTCAAAAGTTTTACTGTTTCACATGTTACATATCTGCTCGGAGGAATGAACTTTGGCCGGCTGCGCTCAGTTTTTGGTCTTGAACAATGGTGATACTGGTTGTTTTATTGGACAGCTTATTTCGCACCATGGGATACAGATACAGGATTGTGGAAATGACGAAATCAGCTGGACGATGTAGAAATGGGAAGAGATATAGAAATGCGAACACGATCAGACTGATTTCCAATGCTCTCAATCGGGGACAACTAACACAATATACTACTCCGTCCAGAACCACAAACAGTGTTTTCATATCCCTTTGACGGACAGGTGACCGGTGGTTTTTCCCCTTTCTGGAGTTACAAACATCCTCACCATCATACTGTGCGAGAGTTGACTACATGCGCAGTGTCGGACCTCGATGTCCTAGTGTCTTACATACAATTTCAGCAATTCAGTGCCCTCCCCCCTTACGCTCGTCCAGATGCATGAGATCTTTTAAGCAAGTTAGGGCTTAAACACTGACGATTACAGTAAATCACGTGTGTAATGTCAACATTTTACAGCGAGATATAGTGGAGGGACCTTCACTGATCGCCGCCGAGCTTTGTGTGCAATATTCAAATTCCAGGAATCGGACTCACATCATAGATCTTAATTAACCGGAACTGTCACAGTATGATCGGAAGCGCTTGTGGGGATGTTTACAGTTTTCACGCGAAATCGTGATTCCAGATTGGTGCGCGACGCTGGTAATTTTTTTTTTTTGTTATTTGCTTGAAAAATAAGTGTCTTTGACGAACGCCCCCCCCCCACCGGTAATATAACCTATCGTGTTTCCCAACTGTGCAAAATGTTAATAGTTCAGCGCAAAAGCGATGAGAAAAATAGGAACTAATTAGTCGGAAATAACTGGCAAAAACTCAGCTACAATAGTAACGATACAACACCCCATACTAGTGCTGCCACAGAAAAAAAACTAGTTAGAAATTGTTCAGTATGAATTGGCATTTGTATAGCATCACATGTTCTCGAAAGGAATCACACCGCAAATATGCAGAAGCTATTGTGCTGCTTCTCATTGACACAGTGGTTGATGAACCGGGTTTCCGGGATCATACTGTGATGGGGTCAGAGTGAAATCATTTGTCTGATGTGCTTAAAAGAAGGCAAATTATTGTGTTTCACTTTCGATTGCAGATTGCTAGGAACATGGAGTGGATGACGGATGCTAGACTACTTGAGAATCTGAATAGATGATAACGAATGCAAAGGTGTGGCTAGCTCCGGTACAGCCGCAGACGAATAGGTCAAAAATTGTAAAGAAGTAGGTCATTTTTTAGACTTATTGTTTGGTTAGGGGTTGATCCTACTTATCGATTAATCGGAACACAATGGCTCATGATGGTGCATCAGCCCTTTGAAAGCACGCGTCAAAATCACAGCCAGTGTCTCTGTGATCGGTCTGAGCATATGCAGCATACGGCACGCACAAACGTGTATTCATGTGTCACCAATAGCGTGAGTGACCAAAGGTGCTCACCAACCGAGAGAGAGCATATTTACTTTGAGCAAGAAAACAGACCACCCACAATTAGAAAACAACCTGTATTGTATGATTCGCCAGGACTGCAAACGAGTGTATAACAGAGAATTCACAATGAGGTGAAAACTTATTTTTTTCATGTGGGTAATGGAGGATTTGGTTAAATTTCAAATGACAATTCACCGTGTATATAGCAAATGAAGCGTGAACTGAAAAGCTCGAAAGCACTGGACAGCTGTTTTGACCTGGTTGGGTCACATTAGCAGTGCGAATCCATCGACCCGACTGGGGATCGAACCCGGGACTTCGTGGGCAGAACGCAAGCGTGCTACCCAATTTTTGCCACCCCG